CTTAATTTTTGACATAATTACAAATTTAATGAATCTACTCAATACAAATTCGAAGTACTCAGATCGGTGAATATAATTCTAATATTGTATATATGGTGAAATATGTAACATTATAGTATATATTTTGTCGCAACTTGCAGAATCAAGAAGTAATTTCTTTTTATATGCTTAAGTTTTGATATACAAAATTATCCTTATAATAATGAAGGGAGTAAATATCCAATAAACTAGTTGAGGTGTGTTTAAACTAATTCGAATAGACAAACTATATATATATATATATATATATTCTCCTCCCCCATTGAGCATTTATTATCTTGGAGTCCTCAATATATTTTAACAGAATTATAACAATAGTAAATATTTGCCTTTGCTTTCTAGTCCCAACTCAAACATTTGCCTTCCCAATAATGACTTCATTCTTGCTATTTGTTTTTAGTACTATAATGCTACGTTTAGTACACATTTTTTAACTCCATAATGGTAATAATCAACCAAATAAAATTGTGAAGTATATTAGGTCAAAAGTAGAGGGCTTAGATTGTAATATTAAATTTTGTTGATCACATCATGATCATATAGTGTTGAAGATATGATCAAATAAATAAAAGTATGTTTTTCTAATAGGTTAAGTTTTTATATGAGACGACGATCAAACATATCAACGTGGTATCAAAATAAATAGAGATCACATGTTTGATTGCCAAAAAAAAGTTTTCATGTGCTTGACTCATAAAAAAAAAGAAGAATCAAGCTTATTAGTGTGTGATTGACAACTTGTTTCATTACATATCATGATGTATCGTATCGCATCGTATCAAATCATATCATGTTGTACAATATTATTTTGATAAATACACATTTAGAAAATTACATCATTTTATATCGTTTCATAATGCAACACACCAACAATATGAATAATAGTGGGTAAAATAGGTTTATTAAATAGTAAGGGCAAAATGAGAAAAAAAAAGGATAATAGCGACGTCACACCAGATAAATTGTTAAATAACGTGACCATTTTAATCGTTATTCAATAATAGATTTAAATGATACGATAACATTTAAGTAACAACAAAACATACATTATATTTAATATAACAATACAATATAATACAATAAGTAATTAATAACCATCCAAATAGGTTTTGAGGTATGATATATTATATATATATATATATATATTATTAATTAGGGATCTCTAGTTTGAGCATTTGTGAATAAGATTCTCTACGATGGCAATGTGAGAATTCTATATAATCATTTCTCGATGTACATAACAATTAAATAAAGTGATATATATAGTTTAATCATTTGAGCTTTTATATGACTTTTTTTGGCAACTTTTTAGATGACACTTATAAATCATACTTTAATAAGAACCTTATAAGATTAATTTCTTTCTCTAGTGAACCAACCCACAACCTGCCCCATTAATGATGACCTATATATACATGTTGTGTTTAGGAATTCCAGCTGCCATTTTTTATAAGATTAAAAATTATCTGTTTGTAGGAAGGCCGACAAAAGAACCATAATTTAAGAATTAAATAGACAAACGTTGTAATTTTAATTAGTAACACAATATTGACTTATCATTTATCATTAACTAGAGGTATTAGGTTCGAGTCATTTTAGATATGAAAATTATTTTTATTAGGGAGTGTTATAACTTACGCTCTTTAATGTGTGATTTTCTGGCGTCAATTCAAATCTAGTCAGATTTTTATTAGGGAGTGTTATGACTTACGCCCTTTAATGTGTGACTTTCTGGCGTCAATTCAAATCTAGTCAGATTTTGCCTCTAGTTATGCTCTCTAATGTGAAACTTAATCAGGTTCCAATATGAATATCGAACTGACTGAAAATTTTAAAAAAACACAATATTGCCTTAATGATTCCTTAATCCAATACATCTTACTTACTTGATGTTTGTGTACATGTATAGACTATAGAGCCATGTTCATTGTACTGAGATCTTCAAAGACAAAACGAATCATATCAAAAGCTTGATGTATGAGAAGATTTATTATTAGTTGTTTATAATTATCTTTTTTTATAGATATATAATTATGTATATATATTTATTTATTTTAGTTTTGACATACTAACAGGTTATCATCAAAGGTGGAATCAAAATTTGAAATTACGTTTTCTAAATTAAATTGTAATTGAATTCATAGCAATTCATTTTATATAATTACAAGATTTTCATAATACTGTCTTAGCAAAATTCTTCTTCATCTCAATTTATAATGAGAAAAATGATCATTTTTGTAGTAAAAGTAGAAAGTATAAGTTTCATAAGTGGTATTCTCCATTGATTGTGTTCCTTCCATCCTTAACACTCCTTAATTATCTTCACTATTACCACCATAGCCCCCATCCTCATCATAGGAACTTACTTATTTTTCCGAAAAATAGCTTTTCGTCATATCGAACAGTACACTCTTAACGAAGGTCTTAAACATAATCATTCAAATCACAATCATTACGTTCATTTGTTTTTTTGAGTAAACAACATAAATTTCATTAGCTTAGAAACTAATTATCTCCATTTTCATGAATTTGCATATTACCACTCCTACCATAATTCGCACCTTGGATATACATATCTGGCACGTCTAGATGTATCTACATATAATTAAGTGTGACCAAATAAGAAATGTAACGTTTAAGACATAAATTTAGGAATATATCTATTGTATCACAACTCCTAAAAATTTGAAATCCTTCTAATTTTTTCGAGCATCAACAAACTTTACACTTCTTCTTGATTGTAAATTTTTGTGTATCTGATCTATTCACTTTGTGTATCTGAACTGCTTTTTATGTATATGATGATATAACTTTTTCTATGTATTTGATATATTCTTAATGATTAGATGTATCTAATATGTTCATTATGTGTGTTTGAATTGTTCTTCTATATATCTGATATTGTTTCTTTTATGCATTTGTCATGTATTTATCAATTAGATGTATCTGATTTGTTCATTATGTGTATCTGAACAATTCTTTAATGAATCTGATATAGTTTCTTTTATGTATCTAATATGTACTTAATGATTAGAATTATCCGATATTTTTACTTTGTGTACCTAATCCGTTTTTATTATGTATATGATATCGTTTATTCTATGTATTTGATAAAACTTACCTCAAAATCGACGAACACAAAGAAGCTTTTAGGCTACTTATAGTTAGTTAAGTTTATCCTTTGTTATACTATATGATTATTTATAACCCTGTTGGTAAGAAATTTATCATATATACCCTATTTTTAATAGAAATCCACCATGACATTTTAAAATCCTATGTGGCCCGACATTTTGATGAGGTGGATGTCACGTGGCATGCCACCTCAACAATATTTTTTTCTTTTTTTTAAGACCAAACACATATACAACCCCTCTAACTTTCCCTCATTTTTTCATTTTGGCACTCCAACTTAGCCTTGTTCTATTTTAATCCTTAAACTCCATTTTTTTTTTATATATGTACCATTTTAACATGAAATACTATTGTTATGATTTCTTTATTTTTATATATATTCTTCAATTGCAACTTCTTATTTTAAATCGACATGTGTCAGATAATTTTAGTTAAAAAAAAAAAATTAACAAAAACTAATTCTTTTTAAAAAATAATATTTTCTGTTTAAGAGTTTTATGTATTTTTATGTGAAAAATAACAGACGAAATTGTGTTGGTTTTCTTTCTTAAAAGTCACCGACAATCTAACAAATTAAAGTCAGTCGAGTTTTAACATTTTTTAGTAGTGTTATTAGCAATGAACAAGAGTCTTTTTACTCGTATTGAAGATGAGTGTTTTTATTCGTATTGATTTATCTTAAAATAAAAAGTGAGTATTTGCGTTAAATTTAGATAGCCTAGATGATAAGAAATAATAAATAAGTAATGTTATATAATTTAATTGAATGTTTAAGAAAGAAAATCAAAGAACTTTCGTCAATTTACTTTCATGCAAAAATACAGAGAAATCTCAAAAAATAATATTATTGTTTGAAAATTTTTATGTTCGTTCGCGAATGTTTAATTTTTTTACGAAAATTAACAAATACACGTCTATTTTTTGAAAATAAAAAATTGCAATTGAAGAACATAAATAAATAAAAAAATATAAAAATAAAGAAATCATAAAAATAGTATTTCATGTTAAAATGGTACATATATAAAAAAAATGGAGTTTAAGGGTTAAAATGGAACAAGCCTAAGTTGGAGTGCCAAAATGAAAAATGAGGGGAAGTTAGAGGGGTTGTATATGTGTTTGGCCTTTTTTTAATGAATACATTTATTAATAATTTAATTTATCTATTTTACCCTTTGTCTTCTTTTTTTACTTTTTTAAAAACATGATTTTTTTTTAAAATTTATGTAACAATTTTCTATGAAAAAATAAATATTATTTTTACTATTCAAAATATAAAACTGAAAAAAATACTAATTGAGTATATAAGTTATCACGTCCTATATAATAAAATAATTGAGCATATAAGAGGTTAATATTTGAATAATAATCTAAACTTTAGTATTTATTTTTACAAGTAAAAATAATAGATAACAATTTCTGACCAAAAAAAAAAAATAGATAACAATAACTTTAAATATATTTTAATGTAGATAATACAAAAATATTAATAAAATTATCTATTTATATTGTAAATATATATTTTTAAAAATATTTTAATATTGATAGTAAAAAAACATTTAAAAATATTAATATTAGCGAATAAGAGAGAACTAAAACATAGTTACCAAGAAAGATAGAAGTAAGGTCTATTACGATATTACGTCCAACCCTCCTTTAAAAAAATTGACTCGTGAAATTATATCGAATATGTCATCGTTGTTGTATTGGGAAGTGTGAGCAAGAAAAATGTGTGTGTGTGTTGGGGTGTGTGTTGGGGTGGGGAGGGGGGGGGTGTTGGAGATCAACACAAATAAATTACCTATATAAACAACATTCCAAAAGCATTACTTATAATTCATTCATTTCTTCTATCTTTCTCTCTTCGCCTTTTAGAACCAAACTTTCACACACAAAGCTACTGAAGAAAAAATTTCTCTCTGCAAAATCTCAGGTACAGAAGTGAATTAAATTCTCTGAGTATTTTCTGTTGATTTATGTTTTTCTGTGTGATTTTAATTGAACCATTTTTGTTTACAGAGAAGAAAAAAAAATGCAAGCCATGAATTCACTTCTAAGTCAACAACAGCAGTCACAGATGTCACTGCAAGACCTTCAAAATGGAGGAAATGGCGGTTCTACCGGTGGTGTTGGTGGTTTAGGTCAACACAATATGGGTAACTTTCACTTTGATCCGACGTCGTCTCACGACGATTTTCTCGAACAGATTCTCTCTTCTGTTCCTTCTTCTTCTCCTTGGCCTGACCTTTCCAAATCCTGGGACCCACATCACCATCTCTCATCGCCGCCGCATAACCCTAGCTCCGGCGAAGATCAACCTCCTTCTAATCCACTTCACTCACAGTTCCATTACGACGACCAAGCTTCTTCTCTACTAGCTTCAAAGCTCCGTCAGCATCAAATCACTGGCGGCGGCGCGGCTGCAGCTGCTAAAGCACTTATGCTACAACAGCAGCTTTTGCTTTCTAGAACACTCGCCGGGAATGGACTCAGGTCTCCTAATGGAGCTTCCGGCGATAACGGCCTCCTTTCCCTACCTCTAAACCTCAGTAATAATGGTGACCAAAACGACGGCGTCGCTAACCCGGTGAGTTTCGTTTTTTCATATTTATGACTAATTTAACACTTTTCTAACAATTATTAACGATTAATTACGCCATTAAATACAGGCTAATGACAATTCCGTTCAAGCTCTTTTCAATGGATTCACCGGATCTCTTGGTCAAACCTCCAATCAACCTCAACATTTTCATCATCCTCAGGTTCATCCACACACATTTTACACGCATATATATATACAAACTCGTTAGAAACTAGCAATAACTAATACAATATTTTCAATTTATTTCAGGGAGGATCGATGCAATCGCAGAGTTTCGGAGCTCCGGCGATGAACCAAACGCCGGCAGCAAGTGGTTCAGTTGGTGGTGGTGGAGGTTCAACGCCGGCAGCACAACCAAAACAACAACGAGTTAGAGCTCGTAGAGGACAAGCTACTGATCCTCACAGCATCGCTGAAAGAGTACGTTTAATTACAGTTTTGCCACCCCTTTCTTCTTCTTCAGTTTTTTTTTTTTTAATTCTGATTTTCCGAATTTTCTGCGTTTCTGTTGCGAATGAAAATGGTGGGCAGTTACGTAGGGAGAGAATTGCAGAGAGAATGAAGGCTTTACAGGAGCTGGTACCCAATGCCAATAAGGTAATTTCATACTAAATTACTCGCGGTCTATTCATTTCTACTCGTTCATTATATTTTAATATAAAACACTCATATTAATTTGATGAATACGGTAAATTGAATTAAATCTAGAGTAATTATTGTAATTTAAATCATTAATTAGCTGATCTTAACTTTGATTAAATTATCATTAGTTTCATAAATTAGAAAATTAATTATTTTTATAATTATAAATTGTAACTGCTTTTCGTCCCATGTGATTGATGGATATAATAATCTTCTTCAATTGGACACGTGTCGTGAAAATAAGGCGAGTAGATGTTTATTTGTATACTTGAGAGTGTGGAGGAGAATGTGTATTGTTGTTTCTTTCCGTGCGTACTTGAAAATGAAAACTAGAAAAGAGATTCTCCCGGGGATCGTAATCCTATTGATAGTTACTCATCTAATACTTTTCAACATTTGTTAATGCGTGATTCATATTACTATAGCACAATTTAAACTTTGGGGTCCTTTGGTGGGAAATAAATTATTATATCATGTGTATGAGATAAATAATGCAAGAACTATCTAATACCTCCAAGTAAACGTGGTATATTATTTTATCTTAAAATTATTATACTTTATACATAATACCGAATGACTAGTCCAATTACTTTTTATTCTAATTAAACATGAGAACATATGAAAAAGTATTATGATTAGATATTGCTAGTTCAAATTGTAAATGTTTTAGCAATTCGTAGAATTTATTAAATAGTTAAATTAACCACATTAAGTATATCAGCCTTAATAGGAATGAGTTTGAGATTCTACGACTTATTGATGTTAATGCATATAACTAAATGAGGTGACATATTTTATATTAGTAACTTATTAAAATAGAAGGTACTTTAGAATAGTTTTTTTCAAAAATTGAATTTGAAGCATTTAATAGAAACACTTAATAAAGTGTTCAGGTGGTCAATTAAAACAAACGGTAGCGTATAAATTGACATCGAAGATAATACAATCATGAGGATTGTGGTGGGGATGGTAAAGTAATATTCTATTTTTAGTTAGAAGTTTTAAGTAGGTCTCTAAAAATTATTTTTGATAGGGAGAGTTTTATATATTTTCTAGTAGAGTTTTTTGACACGAATCTACATTAATCGACCCAAAGTGAACATGGGAAACCAAGAAAAAGTATTGTTGTTTACTTATTGTGTGTTGACATAAGAAATATGTTGTGTTTTAAATTGATTTATAGAAAGAAAGTTAATGTGAAATAGTGAATAGTCAGAGTTATTTTTTATTATTCAAAGTGAAAGAGATGAAGTGAATATAATGGAGTTTAAATAAATGGAATAGTAACGTGATAGTGTTTGTTGGTTTTATGGAATGACAGACAGACAAGGCTTCAATGCTGGATGAGATCATCGACTATGTCAAATTCTTACAGCTCCAAGTCAAAGTACTTTACTCCTTCCTACTCTCTCTTTTTCTTCATTTTTATATTGGAAAAAAGATGCTTCCTTGTTGACAATTTGGATGGCAAAATAGTGATCTTTTAAAATTACTTTCTGTCATTTTCATGGTGTTTGTGTTTCATTTTTTCCTCCGTGTGAACTCAGGTTTTGAGTATGAGTAGATTGGGTGGTGCTGCAGCTGTTGCTCCCTTAGTTGCTGATATGTCCTCTGAGGTACACTATCTTCTTCAATTTTCATTTGCTTTCACATCTAACCATTGAAATATTAAAATTCAACATTGGTATCATTATCTTATACTGCTTCCATCCCAAAATAAGTTGTTTCTAATATTGTCAAAATGCTTTTAAAATTGACTAATCAAGCCTATCAATATAAGCACTTGTAACAAAACAAGCATATTTTGAAAGTTTGTCTAAATAGATCAGTATTAGTTAATGTGAATAAAAATTCTTTAATTTATCACCTTAATCTTTAATTTTATACAAACTGTTGATAAGCTTAGCATGAAATCATGTATAGAGAAGGTGAAAATACAAAAGAAACAAAAAAGGTGTGAGAGAGTATCATATCATGCTGTTTTTTGACAGAAAAAGTAATGACCAATATATGGTGGACAGTAGATAATGCCTATAGAGTGTTCTATTTATAGGAAAAAGATCATAAGGTACTACTTTACTAGTTATAAAAGGGCCGCATTGGTACAATTTTTGAACCAAAAAAACCAATAGCTCATCCTCCATAAAATGTCTCTCTCAAAATAGTGTGTCAGCATAATGCGACAAAAACATAAAGTATCACGCGTGCCTACTTATGTTCCCTCACCCTCAACCCTTTTCCCCACCCTACCTAAACACCCCCTCAAGGCCTCAACCACCATAGTATTTTATTTTTAGAGAAAAAATAGTGAAACATTCCTATATTTAATGTGAATTATTAATAGTTTTAAAATACTCTTTTACTTGATTAATTGCATTTAAATATATTCAATCTTGCAATATGAGTAAAATACATTCCTAAATTTTTGCCAAGTTTAGGAGTCTTCTTACCACTTCTCTCGACTTTTTATTAATAATCTCATGCTCCCATAAAAGTTTGAGACTACTAGCTAAGTTACGTGGTAGATCGAGGATGTAGGTTAATTTAATTGGTCAAGTAGAGAGATATTTTTAATGCTGTTAATAGTTCGGGGGTAAAACTAATGCGAAATTACTAATAGTTCTAAAAACATTTGTTTACAACTGTAAATTGTCTAGGGGTGTTTTCAACTCTTCTCACGACTTTTTATTAATAGTTCCATTCTACATGAATTTGAGACCACTGGCTATATTATGTGATAGATTGGAGGTATATTTAAATTTAGATGATGATGTTTTTGAATACTCTTCTCTTTTATTTACCTTAACTATATATACGCACACCATTATGAAGTAAAATGGAGAATTGGATGATGCATAAAACATTTTATATAAGTACGATTGGATACAGGGAAGAGGTGAAGGAAATGTTGGGAGGGGAGGTAACGGAACGGCGGCGTCATCTTCTAACAGCGAGACAATGACGGTAACGGAGCACCAAGTAGCTAAATTAATGGAGGAAGATATGGGATCGGCTATGCAGTATCTGCAAGGAAAAGGCTTATGCTTAATGCCTATATCCTTAGCTACAGCCATTTCTACTTCCACCAGAATCCCACTACTTTCCCCCGAAGCAACTTCTCCTACCTTATCGGCTTTGACTGTTCAGTCAGCCACCATAGGTAACGCCGCCGGAAAAGACGCCACTTCTCTATCTGAACCTTAAAACTCTCAACTCTTATTAACAGTTAAAAAAACCAGTTCCCCTCAACGGCTCAGAAGAGAAACATAAACGACGCCGTATTTGGGTAGACTTTGTTTTAAGTAAAAGCTTTAACTTAAGCTAACAAAAGGAACTCCCTCTCATGTTACTTCTTAATTAATGATCATCTTTTTTTCTTTTTCTGTTTCTCTTTTAATTAAGTACTTTTACTTGGAACAGTATTATATATATATATGTAATCATGATGTTATGATGATATAGTGGATGATTATGAATAATTAAATTGATACAAACCAAGAAAAAAAAGATTGAATTACTCCTACTTTGTATCTCTCAATTTATACTATTACTCAGTTAAATTTGTTTTCCTGATTGTGAGTTTAGATATATCTTATATATTTAGAAACTACATAAAAATAATAATATAAATCACAAGAATTGAAAATATAAAAGTATTGTGATAAAAAAAATTCTTGATTGACCTTCGAAAACTGAATTATATCACATAAAGTGGAATAGAAGATTAGTATCTTGGCCATGTCATTATTTTGTTTTCCTACTACATTACTTCAAAAGTATGGATAAAATTTATGAATATATTACTAAGTTATTATTTCTGGAAAAAAAGATGAGTTAATTTACATAAATAAAGCATGGGAAAAATAGGATTTTGATTCTTTCACATTTCAAGGAAAAGGGTTGACAGCTTTGAAGTGTTTGCTTTATCCCTTCTCATTATTTTAGTAGCATCTTTTCTGTATTTAGGGCATCTCCATTTCAAACACCAAAATTTACATTAAATTTGTTGTTATCACTATTTTTTGTGTAATCAATTCCAATCCACCGCACCAAATTTTACACCAAAAAAAATATTTTTCTCTCTTCATTATTATATTATTATTTCTTATTTCATTTATATTTTCTTATTTCATAAAATAAATTCTTTCTAAAACATTCACCATATATAATTCATATTATTTCTTTGTATAATCGTTTAATATAAAATTATTTTGTATCATAATTTTTTAAATAATATAAATTGCTAGCAAATATTATACATTATACATAATAGTGGATAATACAAATAAAAGAGAAATCATTATACAATTAAATAAACATACATAATTGAAAAAATTATTTTAAATTCTACATAAATATTCAACTTTCAAGAACACTTCGGTACTCCCATAAATGCTCTATTAATGCATTACGTAGTTCAAAATGAGCTTCTTTGTCCTTTATTTATTTTTTATATTGAGCTAGAAATTGTTGAAATTGATAATTTTAATCTATTGTCATTTCTACGGTCGGAGTTGGACCTTCCGACGCATCTTGAATTGGTGCATTAAGATCACGCTCATCCTCAATTATCATGTTGTGCATTATAATACATGAAGTTAATATATCATGTAGCACTTCTTTTTAAAATTACTATGTATTTTATATTTCAATTTTGATGTATGTCAATTACTACTTTGTTGAATGTTTATTATTTTCAGTTATTTTTAAGTACATTGTATTATTTGTTTAAAAATTTATATGTTTGCATTTTTAATTTTTGTGAAGGTTAATTGTAATTTATAGTAGAATTAACATAAAATTTAATTTTTTTTAAAAAGTCATATATAGAAAAATTAATTTAATAAAAAAGCTAAATTTTATATCTAAAATTAATATTATAAAATATTACACAAAAAATAATTAAATATACAAGAAATTTAATTAAAACATACAATTTATATAATGTTTAATTAAAAGTTTGTATAATGAAATAATATTAAAATATTTAAAAAGTAAATTGGTGTGATGAATAGTGTTACACCAAATTTTGGTGTAACACTATTCACACACCAAATTTGATGTAAAAATTGGTGTGGGTTGGAGCTCAAAACACCAAATATAGTATTTGGTGTAAAATTTGGTGTTTGGTTGGAGATGGTCTTGGTACTTTTTTGGGGGAATTAGATTGCTTTGTGTTGTGGTATTCTATTGAAATATTTACCATCATATATGTATTTTTAATAATAATTCCCAATTAAATAATAGGCCCTCCTTTGACTTTAGAAAAAGAATTAATTCCACTTTAAACAGGTCTTCTTTTGCTTTTGTTGGAAGAAAAAGATAAAAGAGGGGTAAGTTTTTGTGTAAAAGCCATTATATTATATTGAAGAAATATGGAATTTTGGAATTTCTTGATGTTTTTCCTCTGGAAGGAAGAAGTCAAGGAACTTTACTTTCTTTTCAAACTAAAGTAGTAATTTTTTAACATTAAAAAGAGAAATAAAATGAAAAGGATTTTTTCACTTTTTTTCTTTAGAGATTTTAGTAAGAAAATTCAAATTAATTGGACCTCTAAAATGTATATAAGACAGTAATAACAATAAATTCAGTATAATTTTAAGATAAATATGGACCTTATTCCTATCTTTGAGATACGTAAATTAACCCTGAGACAGTAAGAAAAAAATTATTATACAATTGCCACAAAATGGCATTGGAAAACTAGACAAACTTATCTACGTACGCTACTTTAATTCTACAATGGAATATGAATTGGACAAATATATGATTCCAAATATGATAGACTTATTATTTTGTGTTAATTAAATATCCAAAGTGGTTGAGAAATATATAGGCAAATTTCAACAAGTTTTTTAGTCAACAAATATGATAACTTAAATCACTTCAAGAAGTCTTTGGCTTATTTACTCACTCTTTTAGTTTCAAAGGACTAATAATTGAGAAATATGATTTGACATGATTGAATTTTTTTGTTTCTATTGGGGTAGTTGGTGATAAATTACAAAAACAAAATTCCACTACTCACCAACTAATTAATTTAAATTAAAGAAAATACGGAACACACTCATTTTTCTCATACTTTTTCTTTTATTATGTTATGAAAAGTTATTTTGCACTTTTAGTCCCTCAAATATTATAAAATATTGACTTTGGTTTATGTTCCCGTTATATATGACTAGTTTCAGGCCATTTTATATAGAAATCCTTATGTGACAATTTAGATATTTGGATGCACGTTTACATAAAGAATTTGGTAATAGTTACCAAAATTAGGATAATGACATGCTACACACAAACTATTTTATCATTAAAATTAGATATTACATGCTATTTATGTAATTCTACATATATTTTACTCAACATATAAAAAGTTTTGAATCTGTCAATACCTAAAAGATTTTCAAATTAGTGTTCCTATTAAATCAACTAGGCCACGATGGTACATCAATTTGGTGGCAAGTAATATAACTTAAATAGTCATCCACCTAAAAAATAAAAGTTGATTGATATATAACATACATATAATTAGTTTATAATAATGTATGTATATGAGCTAGCGATTATAAATATTTTTGACTGAGCTGTCAATGGTATAACTTCTCCAAAAATTTATTGCACTAGCCATCAATTTTTGAGCTAGAAATTTGCTTTGACAAAGTAATGTAAAACCAACAAAGGGAAGTGTTATTGACTCCTAAAATGGTAAAGAAGTGAATAAAATTCAATGGATAGATTATTCAACCTGTATTTTTGAGGTGGAAAAATTCAGAAATAGTCATTTTCGGTCTCTATAATCGAAAAACGGTCACTATCATGAAATTTCAGAATCTATAATGGAAATTAATCTTCATAAAATATCTTACGAATTTTTCAATTTAAAGATCGCGACTATTTTAAAAAACACAATAAAAAAGTGTTCAACAAGCACTATTTCTACTTTTGAAACTCTGACCCCAAACCTTGCCAGGAAAAATGTACTTGTTATTTATGAGCTAGAAAATGACAATTTCAAACTGCTCTGTAATGTTTCTACTTGATCTAAGTATCTATCGAAAATAGACTTTTATCTTATAGGCATAAGGTCTATGTATACACTATCCTCTTCAAATTTCACTCGTGAAATTAGGATTGTTGTTGTATAATTTATGGTAATTGCATCATCAAGTCTTTGGCTAACTAAGCAAATATGACTTATTTGGACTATTGCCATCATGTTTTAGTTGATGACAATTCAGTATAGACGCGGTTTTGACCTTTTTTTGATAATTATTCTCAAGAAAAAAATTCAGTCCAAAATTTCAACATCAAAGAAAGATTTTTGTTTGTTTGTTTAAGTAGTATAATTATTTTAAAGTAAAAATGTCTTGATCTGTCGCTTAAGCATTCTGTTTAGGCTAAATATTTTAAGGGTAAATATTTGGTGTTATGTTACTGGATTGAAAGGGAAAGCCACTAACCACAAAAACTACTTACTTATATTACAATTGAATTAACAACAATTTAATGTGTAATTTTTATTCCACTTGACTTAATAAATTATAACACAACCAAAATTTTAAGAAAAAAAGTTGACTAGTACATATGCCAACTTTTGCTTTAACCTTTCTTGTTAGGAAAAAAAGACAGGCAACTAATTAAATTCCAATTAAGTGTTAACAAAGGACTCTTTCCTAAATTAAGTACCTTTCCATCCTTTTCACTTGTATGAATCATTGACTTATTTTTAAGATTTAAATTTTTGCACCAATTTGATTGAAATTATACCTCTGTAATCAAATTCATTAAACAAAGATTTGCCAATGCACGTCTTAACTAATTTAATAAGATAAGTAGTTTTTTTTTATGACTCAGTTTTCGTCAATCTCGACTAATTCCATGGAATACCTGTCAGCAATAGGTACCTAGTATTTTTTTTGTCTCCACTAAAATTTGAACCTAAAACCTCAGGATTCTCAACCTCTTTATTGACCACTAGGCCACACCCTTGGTGCTAATATGAACGTAATACCAAGTTTTGCCAGTCTGGTTAAACTTATGAACAATTGAATGTCACAAGAAGTTCCACCAATTTATTGATCGTATAAACACAATGTTTTTCCGGTGAAGGGGTTTGGAGGCATATATGGAATGTACATTCTACGACATCACACAGAGATAAAAGAACGAAACGGTCTCCTCAATTCACATAACAACAACTACTACTACTACTGTGTCTCAGTCCCAAACAAGTTTAGGCTCCTCAATTTACATACTTCTATTTTAAATGTATGAGTTAGCAACTTCCATCAGCTGAAAGATTAGTTGGGACAAATGTGCAGGGACTGGATTCCCAAATGGTTAATCTGGGACCTGTCTTGATTCTGTTCACATACAGGTTTAGTTTTAACTTGATCAAAAGCTGGTAAAACTAATAAACTAGACTTAGTCACAACACTAGAAATAGGAGAAACAAACTAAAGTAACAAACAAATCTGTGATTTTACAATCTGCAGATATATATCTGATATCACCAGACAACAGTGCATATTCTCTTGAAAATATAATCAGAGGATTGAACTGAGTTTATCGTCAACAGTAGGATAAACTTGGGGAAAACACGGAGTAAGCCATCTTCATTGGTCAAATCCGGACAACAAATGGGGGAGAGAAGACATGACTGTTTATGCGATTCAGCATTCATAAATTGAACTATAATAATAACTTATGCATACACTATAGAGGCAGTTAAACCACCAGTGGTATAACCAGTTGAACACCTTAAAATGGAGACTGACTAGTGGCCTCTTCAGTTCAATATCCAATCCAGCTTTAAAACATTGCTCCAGGAAAAGAAACGTGAGTAGTAGCTATTCCGAAAGGAGAGTTATCATCATAGGAATAAAGTCCTCAACAAATCAGAAACGAAAGAGCTCAAAAGTTAGTGTACCAGTAAAGGAATGAACTGCACCCAAGTGAAAATAGAATACTAATATAGGCAGCCTATCTAATTCCAAACCGAGTCATAGGTTATTGGTTGTATGCTATAGTTTACTGCAAATGATCCACTTAGCTTTTGGTTTAACTATCAAAATGCACTACGGTTTGTTAAGGTAAACAAATATCTTGTTCACTATTTCACACAGTTTGTTCAAATAGGCAAATTGTAAGTGAACACAAATATATATCAGATTCAATAGTACTCTCTACTGCATACTTGCTTTTGATTTCTCCTTTTTAAATAACTTTGGTGTTCAAGCCAACTTACACGCACCTGAACTGTTCCCCCATATCTTGTGGCTACCCCTAGATTTAATAGTAGTTAACAAAACCCAAGCAATGGAAGGTACATCAGTGGATCCGGTATCAGAATGGACTGTTTCCAGCAGGGAGACGTGACTCAAAGATCCTATATGGCAATAGAAGTCCGTATGCAAGTAATTGATACACTCGTTGAGCCGTTCAGGAAAAGATCTTAAGCCAATTGAGCAAATAAGACAGATAAGAATCTTAAAATACTAGTGATTTGAGTACCCTTACAACCCTGTAAGATATCATTAGAGTAATAAGACTGGTTCAGCCAAAGTACAGCAAAAGAATAATTGTCATGTTTCCTGTAGAAGTAGAACATAATGCTCCTACTTTGATATAGTCATGCGAGTTACAGAGAGAAGCGATACCATTATCCACAATTCAAACAGAAACAGCTAAAATAAGGAACCTAAGTAAGAACCTTAATGGTTTTATCATTACTGCATGGACATCTGAAAATTCTTCTAGAACTAGCTAGACATCTATCGGAAACAACCTCTCTACTTCACACTTCACAAAGGTAGGGGTAAGGTTTGCGTACATTTCACTGTTCCCCTTCCCCACTTGTGGGACTACACAGGGAATGTTGTTATTGTAACTAGCTAGGCATACCAAATTCTTTTAGTTAGTTTCCGGTTTTCGATGTAACATTTGATTTCTGTTGAAGTCCCCCCCCGCTGTTTCAACAAGCCACATAGCACTCATGTAACTCTCCTAACAGTACATATGTTCCAGTTACGTGCTCCCTGGGCCTTGGGGATCTTACCTTTGTTCACTATGGCAACACTAACACTAGTTCTACTACACACTCTCGTACACAAGTCTTATCTGCAGCTTCTTGTAGTGTCTTTTAAATATTGGATTCAGCAAAGCATGCGATTCTCGGGAGGATGCTACTGAATATTTGGTAAGATTTCCTGAAGAATCTTCAATGCTATTGACAATAATAAGACTGTCTTCCTATATATCCACTTTGTACATCCACCAATTACTATAATTTTCACTACTACACAATTGTAACTCGGATCAACCAGAAGCCACTCCAATAGTTGCAATAAATAGTGAGAATAATAAATGAGAAAGAGATGAAATAATGGACAAAACGAATGTAGTCCGTCTGAGATGACTGAAAAGCTTAAACTCAAGGGACTTGGGAGATATTGCTGTAGTTAAATGGAATTTAGAACTAAAACACAGTGCTCACTAATTATATTAGATACAACATAGATGAGAACGATAATTTTGCTAAATTATATTAGATGCAACAAGAGCAAAATTCCTATACAATCTCAATCTAAACAAATTTGAAATAGAACTTTATGAAAATTAAGATTTGACAAATGAGAATGATAATTTTGCCATTTCAAGTCTCTTGTCAAACATAAGGCATCCAACTTACAACTTCAAAATACACAATTCATTGCTCCTCAACTACCAATTTTACTCTTTACAACTACTCATGATGAAATTGAAAGATCCCCATCACTTACAACCGCAAAACTTACCAAAAACAAGCATTAAGTAACCCCTTGTCAATATCCAAAATATTCAAAAAATTTGCCATCAACAAGAACAAGGAGGTTTGAAGGTATAAGGCTGTGGAAGTGACAACGGACCTCTCCTCGACTCATTATCATCCAAATATCTCTGAACTTTCTTCTTAGAACAGTACTGCCTATCAAAATGTTTCACCTATCATACAAAACACATACTAATTAACAAAAACCCAGGGTAAGTCCCAGAAAGTTAATACGTTTATCAGTTTGGTACACTGAACAGCTATTTGAAAAGAAAAAAAAAACTAAAACCGAACAATTCAATCAACCAATCCATCACGCCTCAATCCCAAACTAGTTGGACTAGACTAACTGAATCATTTATATATATCTATTTCATTCCAAAACAAATTGAAACCAAATATATGAGATAAAAAAGAACTCACCCAAGTGGGTCTACATTGCTTCACATATCCCTGCCTAGTTTTGTTGCAATCAACTGGGTATAACAGCCCAACAGTCCCGATTTCAGTAGGCTTCTTGTCTGATTTATTCACCAGGCATGAGTAGAACGCATCTCTCGCCTTCAAACCAGAAATTCACAGCCTTGTATTAGCTTACTCAAACATTGATATAATTCATATACACATCAAAATAAAACAAAGAAATTAATACAGCAGGTCCAACAAAACCCAGTGGTTTCAGCTCTAAATCACACACACACACACACATCCAAGCATAGAAGGAATACAAATTCACTCCTTTCTATTAGCTTTATGTATCAAAATTGATGATAATTTCCAGTGATTTCAGCTTGAAATTACACACACAAATACATACAAGTAGTCCAAAATGTATATATATAGTTTACATATTTTTAACAAATTGAGAGAAAATAAATGTACCTTGTAGCAAGAGATTCGAGATTTGCTGAGAACATCGGTGTGAATTTCGTCACTGACTTGTGATGTACTCTTCCATCGCCACTGTTAAACTGCAATTTTGAAGGAAGGAAAAAATTTTGTTAAACCTTTCTGAAAATAACTAACGATATTCTATTTATAAATGATAAAAAACCGAGTTAAACTGATATTAAAAAATTTATTCTAATATAAATTAAATAACAAATTCTAAATGATTAAGATTCTTACTTCAACTTTGAATTATTATTTCAATATCGAATAACTAGATAACAAATTTCTATTTAGTGTTGAGTACAGAACTTTTTCTTGAGGAACAAATTTTTTTCTTTTTTTATTTTAACAACTTGAAGAACAAGCTGGAATGTTAGATTAGAAGCTATACGGGCTAAATAACTGGGCTGGATCATTACAAGATTAATGGGCCGTATTGGTTGAAACTCTTTGGGCCCAAATAAATAATTGAAGATTTTTCATTTGTTTGCAACAAGAATATTTGAATTTGATTATGCACATATGAGTGATTAAGATATTGTCTTCGGGTTTAAATGATAAAGATTGTTCATTTTTCAACATAAATATGTATAGGTTATTTATTGTTAAACATAATCAATATACAATTCAAATAAAAAATAATTAAATATTAGAAAATTATATATTAATTTGAAAACAAAAATTATGTTTACTAGTGATGGTGGAGATGAATTGTAGCGGTGATGATTGATGTTAGTGGATGATAATAGTGGTAGCGATAACTGTGATATGATGAAAGTGAATGGTGTTGTACTGACTGATCTGATCGTAGCAATTAGTTGTCGTGGTGGTAGAGTTGATTGATGTTAATAGTTGACAGTGTGGCTAAAGAATGTGTGATGGTTGATGATGATGGTGTTGGTGGTAATTGGGTGCAAAACTCGTTATGATGGTAGATATGGTTGGTCGTAAGGATTAATTCCAATGGTGGTATTGGCTAGTAGTGATGGTGGTGGACATAGTTATAATGATGGAAGTGACAAGTGTGGTAGCGATCGATTGACAATAATGGTGGTGGCTGGCAATGATGATAATTGTGCTGTCAGATATGATTCATGGTGATGACTAGACATGATTCTGGATATAATGATGGTGAAAATTATCCACGTAATATAAACAAATACATTTAGTGAACTAAGATTTAAATCATTTATTTTTTAATCTTCGTTAAGTTCAAATAAATAAAGTCCGAAAATATCTAATTAAACACCACTACTTCATGATGATCTATTTATTTATTTCTTTTACAAAAATGGACAAAAGCATACATCCTTTTCATGGGGTGCTAAAAATCAACTCACCAATATAAGGTTCATTCCATGTAATGTGATGGTGGAATCGTACGAGTACATTTATAAGCACATTTTGTTCATTTTATTGGATTAGTGGGTGTTACCATTGGTTCATTTGACTTTTAAGTCTTTGGTTGAATATTATTCATTTCAATCTATGTGCTTTAATTTCTTAAACACAAAGTTTAAGTAAGAGAAATTTGATTATTATTATAAAATGTTATTTTAAAAAATGTCTATTGTAAAACAGTGTAATAGTATATATCAACATAATAAAATACACTTAAAATTTGTTTCACTTTGTTGTAATGGACTTGATAACAATACTTTTTGTGGGTGCTACTACTACAATTGACAATACTTTGTGGATGTTGTCATCGATTTATTTGTCTTCTGAGTTTTGGTTCGATATTGTTAGTTTCAATTTATGTATTTTAATTTTAATGAGCATATGAAGTTTAAATAATAAGAGAAATTTGATCATTATTATAGAGAATGTTTGTTATAAAAAGGCCTAATTGTATATATCAACATAACAAAGCATGTTTATTTGATAACAAAACTCTTTGTGGGTGCTACAATTGATTTCATTTGATTTATTAGAGCGATAAAATGTTGAATGTCAATAAATCGTGATAACAAGGTCACCTACCATTTATAATACTCTATTTTATCACTGGACTCAAGAAAAAATGTACTTCAAAGCATTGATAAGTTGAATTACTTTTTTTTTCTTCTTATCTCTGCATTTTTATATTTTAAATTTCTCATGAAAATTCTAATTCCGCCATTTCTAATAATTTTTTTGGCGAAAAGTCTTTTTCAAAGATGTTCACAGTCTTTTGTAATATCTCCCCTATAGTCATCAAGTTAAATCACAAATTTTCGAGAGGCTCCACATCATCCTTTTAATTTTATTTCATAATTATGTTTTCTTTGACCTTTTACTTCATAGACTTTCATATCCATTTTTATTTTTTTTGTTATGGATGACTTTTTCAATGTTGATATGATTTGGCATTTGACACATTCTGAAAGCTCATTCCACAATGTATTGATGAATTATGATATCAAATTTGAAGCCAATTCTTGTTTGTTTGGCCATTATTTGACAATAATCTTATGACAACGATGAGTTTTTTTTAAGGTAAGAAAAGCTTTTCATTAAAAGAAAATTATATTTTTTTAAATAATATCTAATACAATGATCTATATCATATTGACTCGACTCTAAAATTTATCATGTAAAAATAGTCCATTGGTACATACACATGCATTCATATGAATAAATTAGTGTAGGAGATTTACAAAAATATATTCATGCAAAAGTATATATATTGTTACAATAATTTTAAATTATCAATAAAATTCTCGCAAGATGAAAAAAGTCCCCCTCACAGTCACAGAGCATATGAACTATTTTCGAAGCTTAAACTTACTCCTGAGCATTGCATATATTTTTAATTCCAGCACATCGCTAGTGTATAATATTTCTCATTAACTATATACTATTTTTTCATTTTTGGTTGCTTTCTCATTGTTGTTGTTATTGCAATTTTCAATAATTTTTTTGCGTTAAATATATTTTTCTAACTTTAATCAAATATTGTGCAAAAGTTGACATCACTTTCGACCATAATTAAATGGTGTCATATGGACCCATTCCAACAAAACTCAGTAAAAATGGTTAGTTGTGTTGGAAAATAGCACGCAACGTAAGCATTTCAAAATTATACTACTTATATAAATTATTACCTCTAAAGTGTGAGCAGATATCTTGAAACTGGTTCGATTCCAATTTTATGGTCTTCTATAGTAATCTTAAATTAACAGGCTAATTAACTCTCTCGGGTAGACAAATATCATATGTCTTTCTAAATTAGAAGATCCCGTATTTATAAAGATTTCTTTCCAGTTCAAAAGTAAGAAAAAAAACTCACGCTTTTCTTGAAAAACAAGAAAATTCATGTGATTCTTCCTCTTTCCTTTTGAAAATAGGATTATGATTTATGAATTGTAGTTACATATGATCATCAATAATATATTTTCCAACACGTCCTTTATGAGTAGCCTACACCAATAGGAGTAATATTTACCAACATTTTGCTAGAATCGAGGGTGGAGCTAATCACTAATCTCTTGATTACTGCACTAGCCTGGTTTCAAGGAACCTATAGTAATCACTAATCACTCTTTCCTTGGATTAAGTTTGTTAATTTTCACTTTAAACAATTTTTAATTCAGAAAAAGGCAAACGCATGCCCCCTTCTTTAGTATCAATTTCATATTAGAATATTAGTTAGTCACCTTTTTTTTATACGCTTCTTAAAAAGTTTATCAAATTTATACGATACATTAAATTTAGAACTTTAATTATAAACACTTGAAGTCGTCATTCTAAAGTTTAAAACTCATAAAGTTGAAATTCTGACTCACTCTATATAACAATATCATATCGAAGATGTATGAGATAAAAACGATCTTGTGAAGATAGACGAATGATATGGTGGCATGTGGTGATGAAAACATCTCCAATTATGATCACAATCAAGAAATATCGAACAAACCCCCCAATGATCAAACATAGAGGGTAGAAATAAAGTTGTCCACCTAGAGGTAACCAATAATAGAAATAAGATAAATTTGTCAATTTAGAAATCACGAGAAAAGTCAAGATTTTCGTTAATTAATATGCGAATTTAAATTAGTTGAGCTCAATAATAAAGTAATAGTACTCATATTTGTGGTGTCTCCCCTTGAATGACGCAGGCCTATAGGTGGTCCAAATCCCAATGACAATTTCCATGCGGGTGGTCCTACCTCTCATTGAACGGTCAGGATTCATCCACAACAGTCAAATCAAACTAACGAATACCAAGTCAATTGATATAGATATGTATTAGGCTTTGTTTGGATCAAGAAATTTAAAAAACAATAATAAAATAATTACGTTTGAAATATCTAAATAAAGTTTTGTGGTTGGAATGTATTGTATAAAAAAACTAAAACTAATGTATGTTTGGTGGGTCATATTTGAATAATTTTGTGTGGGGAATCAAATTATTAAATACTTAATTTTAACTATAAATTTGAATATAAATTTGAATATAAATTTGAATAGACTACTCATATTAAATTATAAATAATTTTCTACTCTCTCTATTACAATTTATGTTAAAGAGTTTGGTGTATGAGAATCAAATTATTAAATACTTAATTTTAACTATAAATTTGAATATAAATTCTTTAAATATTTTAAAATAAAATTTATATATTTGAAATCTAAATAAAAAATACTTTAAAACAACATAATTGAGGATTTATTTTTTTAAGTTTGACAAAATAGCAATCAAAGAAAAATATTTGATTTTTTAAATAGTAATATCTCACTAAAAATGAGACGAAGCAAATATCATTTCAACCAAAAAAGTTTGAAGATAAATACAATTATCTTTTGAACAGACATATACTTTAAGTTAAGCTTTGACATAAATTTAAAATTTTCATACTTGCGATTTTTATCTTCAAATATTTAATTTTTAAAAGCTACGATTTTCGTAATTATCTTCTTGAAATCTACCACAAAGGCTTAGTACTATTAGTAGAAAAGGACAACCCAACCAATTTACCCCACAAAACCACTACAAAAAAAATGTTCTCTAGGCTTTAGCACTAGCTAGGGACGGATGTAGTACGTTAATTTAGTAATTTTAATATATATATATATATATATATATATTTTTTTTTTT